ACGCAGGAAGTCGTTGGATTCCCTTTGCCCGAGATGCAGAACATTGCTGGTACTCCATTGTCGTCTAATGGGCAGAGTATCGTTGTTGATCTCATTTTGAGGTCTTCCATTCTGTAGATACCCTAGGCTCTAGCCTTAAAATTTTCCTATTTTGACTCTCTTAGATGACTAGACTGAGTCCCACACTACTTAGAAATTCAAGTCATTTCTTCGCTCTTTGCAGTTTCATATGGATGGTTTAAGATCCTCAACATTCGATTGAGTCGATTGAAAAACCGACATATTGAAGCTCAAATTGAACTCCTATAGAAATTTGAAAGACATAGGTGGACATCGTGGAGCGTGCGATGTTTGATTTGTCACTGCGAGCGATGTGTTTGACTTTGGTCGTCGCTTATATGAGGACCGGTTAATGATATATTCGTCGAACGACTTCGATCGGGTCAAAATGATTTCATTTGTTGCGTCACACACGAATCAAAGTTAATTTGACGTGATCGTTGACAAGTTTGTCCGGACGACCCCAGAGGACGAAATGGACCACACAGTTGCGTTCGGAACGTCGATTTTAGCTAGGGAGGACACCCATTTTGTTGGGGCGTCGCGCACGAATGAATTGCACGAAATTTGATATTTTCTTTAAAAAAATAATAAAATCTTTTTTTTATAAAAGGGTTTTTAAAAAAAAAATCCCTAAACATAATCTCTCTCATGTGCGCTTTCCCTTCTCCTCTTGGGACCGAAACGTGCCCTAGCTTTCCCTTTGCTCCTCTCGGCCGAATAAGGAGGCCCCATTTCCGGTTTCTCCGGTCACCTTATTTCTCTCTGGTGGTGGCTTACCTTCTTCTCCGGTCGTAACTGCCGATTACTTTCTCGTAATGGTTTTTCCCGCGCAATGAATTGAGTAACTCTCGTTCTTGGGTTTGTGCGTGACCCACACCGTGAGCATCTCCTCCCCTTGCTCAGCTATAAATACCCCATGGGAGGGGAACATTGAGGGTGCGATTTTTTCTTTGGAGATTTTGGAGAAATATAGTGCTGAGGTTTTTTTTTCTGTTGAAAGCTTTTTATCTCACGATCTTTCCTTTCCCCAATCTTTTCATTTCTTAAGCTAGGAAGAAATCAAGGTTAGATGTCATTTATTTTTAAGATGTAGTTTTTCTTGAGCCTGGTTTCGATGAATTAATGCTGCATTTATATTACTTCTTTTGCCTCCGTTCGAATATGCATTGGGAGATTATGTTCTGTTTTGAACACATGATTTGGGGAACTGATTTATACATTTATTTACTGCCTTTATTCGAATACATATGTTAGAGATTATTTTTGGTTTTGAATAATCGTTTTGGGGCTTAATTCATGCTCTTTTTGCTGCCCCTTGCTCGGATACATGATTGGAAATCATTTTATGGCTTTGAAAACTGCTTTATAGTCCCGGTTTTGCTGTCTCGGTTTTGGCTCTTCTTGCTGCCTCTTTTTTCGAATATACATTGGAATCACTTGGTGCCTCGAAGAGCTGCTTTACTGTCTCGGTTTTGGCTCCTTTTACAGTCCTATTTAGATACATATAATATTCGGGTTTTAACTACATTATTGAAAGTTAATTTTCTTGTTCCTCTCATTACCTCATCCAGATATATGTCATTTTAGACTTGAATATCTATTTGGAACTATATTTTTCATTCTCTTTGCTACTCTATTCGAACACATTTTGGAACAATTTTCCTTTAGTCTTGACGATGATGTTTGGGGGTTGATTGCCCGCTCTTCTTGTTGCTCCATTTGAATATATATTATTTCAATTCGAACATGTGATTGGAGTTGAGTTCTTGCTAGCCTTGTTGCCCCTATTTGAATAAATATGTTGGAGATTCATCTCTTGGTTTTAAACGACTATTTGGGGGCTGCACTCATTGCTCTTCTCACTGTCTTATTCAAATATGTATGGGAAATATTTTTTGGCTTTAAGAAAATGATTTGGAGCTACAATCTTTGCTCCTTTGCTATTCTTATTCGAGTGTATGTTGGAGCTCTTATTTTCAGTTCTAAATAACAATTTGGGGCTCGGTTCCTATCCTTATTGTTGCCCCTATGTGAATAAACATATTGGAGGCCTTTTTTTTTGGTTTTGAGAATTAATTTGGAGCTGCAGTTCTTTGCTTCCTTTGCTACCTCATTTGAATATATATATTGGGAAGTTGTTTTAGCTTTGAAACTCGATTGGGAGTTGCAGTCTTTGCTCCCTTTTGTTATCTTATTCGGATACACATTTGTTATTTTGACCCCCAATTATTGAACTAAGGTAAAATGACACTTTTGTAATGTGGTATCGCTCACCTACCACATCTCACCTATCGCACCTATCACCCACCTACCTCCCACCTACCACTCTCTTGCTTCTATAAATAGAGAGGGTGTGAGGCTTAGGAGGGAAGGGAGAAGAGATCTTAAGCTACCACAAAGGAGGAGAGAATAACTAGAGAGCTAGAGAGGAGGAGAGCATCTTGAGGCCTTGTATCATGGTGTCGCTTGAGAGGGAGACCATAGAAGGAAGACGAGGGCTCAATTCTATGTATAAGTTATGTATTCTCCATTTCTTTTGCCTTAGTGAAATATTTGATTGATTCCCTCCGGTGGACGTAGATCCAGTTGGATCGAACCACGTAAACGATCTGTGTTTGCTTGTGTCATTTGCGTTTCATTTCTATGTCAGGAAGTACATATCTCACAACAATTGGCGCCGTTTGTGGGAAGATCCATACTTCTTGGCTAGAGGTGTCTGCGTAAAGGTGTTCGCGGCCAACGACGAAGAAGAGGAGTTCGGCATTCACGAACAGAGGAGCAAGCAGATTGCGTTGCAGGCAGCCGAATTGCGACAGATTCGGTGAGCAGTGAATTCAGTGAGAAGTGGAAGCTTTGATCGATTGGATTCGCACTGCAAGTTGTGTGGCTCGGCGAGACGGAGGAGAAACAGTCCACGAGCGAGGGCCAAAAATTTGCGACAGGGCTGCCAACAGAGGATTTCAGAGCAGGAGTTCGATCTTGCGAGCAGCTCGGTCAGAGAGAAGAGACGGAGATCGCGCAGAGAAGGGTTCAGGGAGTTCCCTGTTTGGGAGTTCGCGAAGCAGGAGGACTTGAGCAGTTTGGCGAGGCGCGACGGCTCTAGAGAGGCAGTTATTCTCGTGCGAGTGCTGGATGTAGAGGAGTGCTTGCGGGAAAGAGGCACGAGCACAGAACAGGAATTTTTCTCCGGTGAACAGGTGTGATCTCTGCCAGAAGGGATTAGAGCTCTCTGTTCGGTTGGCGAAGGCAGTGAAGTTCACGGGGAGAAGTGCAACATTTTGGTGATTTCAACCTAGTTCTTGGAAGGGCAGTAGGTAGAATTCATTGGAATAAATCCTAGCCAC